TACCTTTGTCTCCGGCTGGGATTGAAAAGCGAACCTTTTGCCTCCATCCCTCTTGTCCCTCTTGGTCCTTCTAACCCACTCTTTAAAATCGGAAGAGCTGCGGTGAGGAATAAGGTCTGAGGGGCCCCTTTACTCTGCCACATCGACTCCGCTTTCCTCCGCCTGTGTGGCTGAGCTCTTTGATCCTTTGAATGATGTTTTGATATTTTCCCAGAGAAAATACCCTGCGCGGGAAGGCGGGGGTTGAATTCAGTACTCACATCTAATGAAACTACAAGGCCTGATTGAATCTAATAGTGCCCGGAAGTAAACGGCAACGGGCCAAGATTTTGACACGGTGCAAAACTGACTTTCATCATTGTTAGAATCGTTAAATCTTGGGAAATGGTTTGGCAACCTCCAAATAAGAAGCAAGGGAAACGACGTCAGATGACTTCATCTAAGTACAGACCATCCACTTGCGCAGTTCCCATACGTGGTTGCATTTTTGCGTGAAACATTTCCTTTGTCCACATGGTCAGTAGCTGGTGCTGCCTTTTTTATTTTATTTTATTTTATTATTATTTTTTTTTTAGTTGTAAGATTTAGGTTTTACAAGATACAAGTAGCCATGGAGGGGACGGTTCAGTGAAAACTGGTACAGGAACTTAACAGACTATTTTTCAAGTTAGTGAAAATCTCTCATTTTATCTGCAGAGTGGGGTGGAAACAGGTACATTGTGAATGGAGAAATTCATCACAAGAAAACGGAGACCTCTTCAATTAATAGCAACTTCGGTCTAGACTATGGTCTTGGAGTAAGTACAGGTTCTGGACAGTCACCTTCATCTATGGAGTCCGTACAGGCAAAGATCATGGAAGTGGTGAGATACCAAGGTAGTAAGTGACAATACACTCACCAGAGTAGTAAATAATAATACATTTAGAGTAATTTTCACCAAAAAGGTTGAAAACAAAAGAGGCTTTTTTTTGGTTTACTGTGTTTACTGGGGAAAATAACTTTTTAAAACATTTAAGTGAATTATTTAAAATTTTTTTATTTTGGGAAATTTTAAGTTATGCAGTGTGATTCAAAGAAGGAAAATGATCCTGTATGCCTCCCTTAATTTGGTGCTTGTTTCTTCATTTTAAAATTTCCATAACCTACTTTACTTAAATGACAAATTTTTTTGGCTTCACTTCCTGGAATCCATGTATGTATAACTGACCATTGTTCTATGCTGCCTTCCACAGGAAAAAAATAGGGTTCTGATTACAAAATGGGCTTTGTTTATGGTAGCATTTTTTTAAGGCAAAATAAAATTTGATCTTACAGTCTTGGCGTTGTATTTGCACTGTTAAGGTGAAAAAGTTTAGTATCAGGACAAGCAAAAATGTTAATATTTCATTGACATTGCTTGTTAAATGTAGAAAGTCACAAGGCCTACACACATTATCAGTGACTTAAACCATCAACGCCATCTCCAGAGGAAAAGAAGATATGTTAGCAACAGAAAATCACCATTTTTCTAAGACAGAATCAGGCACACTGTATGTAACTACCTACATGCTTGATGCAGGACCAATTTTGAATTAATTGGGGTTTAGAACCATGAAATTATTACCAAATACAAAGTTTAGATTTCGTTTTGAAATAGCCTCCCTTGAAAGACAGTTTAACAGCTAGCATTTAGTATGTTTATCTAGTAGCATGTAAAAGTTTCTGAGAAACTGTTCTCGTGAGTACCCACACATGACAAATAATGTCAATACAAAGACTTATTTGGGCCCCTTCACTTTATTCAAAGCCCTGGATTAATCTACCATTCCTACCAAATAGCCAGTCAAGCAGGGTGAATTGGGCATCCAGCTCCTTATTTGTATACCTCAGAGTGCTATGAAAGTTTGCCACTCATACATTTGATCAGGCAAAGTGGGTGTTACTACATCACTTCTGTTGCCCCACACTCTTCCAGACAGACTTTGGTACATGTTTGTGTTTAAAGGTTGCCTCAGATATTCCGGTCTGACCACGTTTCACTTCAGTAAGAAACACTGTCAAAACAAAAACAAAACAAAAACAGGAAAAAAAAAAAGTAAACCCCAAACAGAGAAGTAGATCTGAGATTCACCCATCTGCAACTCCTGACAATGGTCCTATCCATCACCCTTTATAATTTCCTCTAGCTTTACCAAGCATCAACAGTTGTCAGAAAGACAAAAAGAAAACCTTTTTAATTATACAGAAGTTCATTCAAACTTCAATGGCACTTTGGGGACCATCCAGAGTTGTGATTTCCCAAGGAAAAGGACTCATCTACAGAAAGATGTGGATCTTCGTGGATCCGATTATCAGTGCTGGTGACCCTTTAATGACTCAGTCTGCTTGGTTCACTGCAGTCACACAGAGACACCCAGGAAACTGCTGAGTCTTCTGAAAGTACAGAAGTGATAGAATAAGTGTAACCCACATACAGGAAGGATTAGCACACATACATGGATTGTGCACAGTCATTCCATTGCAAATGTCCTGTGGTCTGCTACACCCACTATGTACCTGGGCAGTGCTGGGTTGATCATCCATCTGATGTTAAACCCTCCACATGTCATATCCTGCAAGAAGTTTCCCAATCTATGTATGCTGCATCAATTTCCCCATCTTAAGTAGTTGTGTTTTTGTTTCCTATTATATCCAAACATACATTTTTCTAATTCCAAACAAATAAAGTGGGAAATAATGGTAAAGAGCAAAAATAAAAAGGTTTGATTCATCTGTAGAAGTAAGGCGGGGGCCCCTGGGTGGCTCAGTCATGTAAGCACCCAACCCTTGATTTTGGCTCAAGTCATGAGCTCATGATTCCTGGGATTAAGCCCCACTGACAGCATGGATCCTGCTTGGGATTCTATCAAAATAAATAAATAAAAAAATAAAGTAAGGCAAATGTGCATATGTTATGATGCTATGTATGGGGATTTGGGGGTCATAAGTATTTATGCATTTTCCTGATGGTCACCTTAGGACTCAATGGCCAAAATCAATGATGGAGAGAAAGACCATTAGAACTATAAAAACTGTCAAGATTTTTTATTGCAGTGTTTTCCTAAGTGTGGTTTGCTTATCACTGATGGCATGTGATGTGTGTCAGAGGTGCTCAGATAAATGTTTCTCATTTCAGTAAGTATGTGTTTATTTCTAGTGGATTTTAGAAAAGTATAACTGGCATATAAGACTCAATTTTTCTTGGAAATTAATACTTAGGATGAAGCCACAGTAAGGGATACTCAGACTGGTGAAACTTACTATTTTCCTTGCCTTTCCTATCTTATGACTGAGGATTTTCATAACCTTGATATAAGACTAGTTTTCTTTTTTTTTCCAAGTTTATTTATTTATTTTGAGGGGGTGGGAGTGAGAGAGAGAGAGAGAGAGAGAGAGAGAGAATCCCAAGCAGGCTCCACGCTGTCAGCACAGAGCCTCACTTGGGGCTTGATCTCATGAACTGCAAGATCATGACCTGAGTTGAAATCAAGAGTCAGATGCTTAACCATCTGAGCCATCCAGGTGCCCCCAGACTGGTTTTCTTGCCTTTTTCTATCTTTATCCAGGGGTATTAATCATACTATCCTGGGGCCAACTTCATGCCCAAAGACCTTTTCCCTATTTTTCAGAGGAGAGAAAGGGGCTCTTCATGCACAGAGAAATCCTTATGGCCTTCTCTGAAATTCAGCATTCTGAGTTGGGCACATGGACTGGATTTCCCACAGATACTTCATGCTATAAGCTACATATAAGGATATTAGTCTGCTCTTCAAATTCATCCAAACTCAGTAAGAATGAACACAAGTATCACCCCCAAAAGTGAGCAGTATGTCTATATATACTACTCAGTTAAAATAATCCAATTTAATTAAAGCTCGTGGTGCCTGCCAAGGCTTTTTAAGTGTTCTTTTTAAGTGTTTGCTGAGCCACACCTATGATACTATAGGCACTCACATAAAAATGGTTCTAGATTTTGTTTTGTTTCTTGAGGGTACACCAACCTTGCAGAACAATCAAGAACTTGTAAAATAAACAAAATGGTCTAGGACTTATCATCTTCTCTTTCCTTCCAAATTGTCCCAGCTCTTCCCAGCTCTTGATTACTCTTGGATTTGGGAGTCATTCTCTCCGCTCTTTGCTCTGGTTGATGGTGGGCTGTTCTAGCCCACTTGTCATCACTCTGTAGCCACATGTCCTGAACTTGTGCTCAGATGGTGGCTTTGTACCTCTGTAAATTGTAGTGTTGGGTAAGGCTCTTGGACCACCAGTGATTACAGCTCATCATACACCCTTAAAAAGAATTCTGGCTTGTGTAGTTCTCTCAGATACTTGGGACAACTTCTCAAGGGCTTACCTAGAGGATATTGGAATGTACCATCCTGGTTTTTGTTTTTTTTTTTAAGTTTATTTATTTGTTCTGAAAGAGAGAGTATAAGTGGAGGAGGGGCAGAGAGAGAGGGGGAGAGAGAATTCCAAGCAGGCTCCACACTGTCAGCTCAGAGCCTGATGTGGGGCTCAAACTCACACCATGAGATCATAACCTGATCCAAAAGTTGGATGCTTAACTGACTGAACCACCCAGGCACTCCTATGTATCATCCTGTTTTAATAAAAAGGTCTCCCTCACTTTTCTTGGATAGAATGCTTTTGATTCCAGGTATCACAACTGCTATTAAAAGTAGCTTAAGGAATAGGGGTTTAATTTCATCCACAGAAGGGAGTCTCGAGGTAGGTTTTTCTAGGGTGGGTCCAGTAACTCAAAGATATCAAGATTCTTGCTCTTTTCCATTTTCTCCCCTCTGTGACCTTCCATGTACTAAGTGTGTCTTTGTCACATACGTCAAAAGGTGACTGCCACAGCTCTGTCACGACCTCACACAAGAACCTGCAGGAGCAAGGAAAGAAAGTAGGGTTTTGTTATGAACGCATCTCTCTCTGTATTAGATGTGAAAACCTCTCCAAGAGGCCCCAGCAGACTTCCCTTGGGCCCTCCTGGTCACAGTGGGAGGTTTGCCCGTGACCTAGCTGTGAAGGAGGATGAAACAGTGTGAGTGCTGGCCTACTCCGTTTGTGGAAACGAGAGGAAAGCTTCACCTGTAAGAAAGAAGGGGGTTAGGAATGTCTGCTGCTCGGGAAGCATCAGTGATTACCAGCTAGGAGCCCAGATACCTCAGAGGTCTGTCTCAGAGTGAATTGATTCTCTGTCTCCATAAAGGAATCTCCCCCGAGATTTGGCCTCTTAGGTCTCTTTGTTACCAGGTAAATAACCTCCTCATTTCTGGGACTCCAGAACCAACCTCCAGAACATGTAAAATGAGTCCTATCTCTGCCACTTATCTTCCTCTGCCACCTTCCTTCCAGGCCCCTGCCCCTGGTTTTGCTACAGTAAAGCAACAAAAGGTGATGTGCACTCCTTATGCAGGCTCAGGAAAATGTGTGCGGGCTAGCAAACATGTTCACACTTTTTTTCTAGCACAATCATTAAAATCTCTGAGGAAGCACAAGATATCGACTTATTCTCAGAGACATTTATTCAACTAGTTTCACTGTAATCTTACACCATGTGCCCACTGTATCATTACACTGAATCTAACACAGTATTGGCTCTCATGTTGTCAATCACAGTTTTTAAGTACCGTCTAGATACATTTTCGTGTATTAATGCTCAAACTTTTAAAAATTAATAGGATCTTCTGTTCAAAAAATTATTATCACTGTCCTCCCAAAGCACCTAATTCCACAGAGCACTATTCTAGCTGGGAAATAAACAAAACGGTGTAACACATTTTACGCAGAGGTTTAATATTAAACATAGGAAAGTAACAGATTGATTTAAAAATTCATAATTTTCACTGACAAAGAGGGAGACCAAGCTCAAGATGGGCTCAAAGGGATGGTTGCCTCTCAGAAAGGCCTTTATTTGAATTCTATCGTTTCATGAGCACCTCCTACGCTTAAGATCTTCTTGGACCTACAAGGATTTAAATGATACAAACTCTGCCCTCTAGAGGCAAACAATTTTATGGGGAAACCCAAGAATCAGTTTTCCCGCCTTCATGTCCCCTCAGAAATGGTGTACATTAGCCTCGCTCTGCTGACCTCCCAGCTCGAATCACTTGCTGCTCCTACGGCTCGAACTGCAGCCTTCTGAGTGATGGGACCCCGTCTGCAAGGACCACCACTGAAGGCAGAGAAACATGGGACAGGCTTTACCTTTTTAAAAGCACGTCCCTTGTTAGAGCACATTATTCCATACAGAGTCTATTAGGATGCAGTCAGACTTATCTGGCTGCGCGAGAAACTAAAAGAAACAGTGCCCTAAATAAGATTTAAGTTTACTTCTTTCTCTGGGAATAAGCAGTGCAGAAATGATAAAAATGCCTTCAGAATTCATGCTCTTTCTCTGTGCTCCTGCTTTGCTATCTTCAATGCAAGGCTCTGATCCTGTGGTCTAAATCGGCTACTCCAACACTGGTCATCAACTTGGCCTCAGTTTGGCTGCTGGGGGTACCCGGGTTGCTCAGTCGGTTAAGTGTCCGACTCTTGATTTCAGTTTGGGTCATGATTTCACGGTACGTGCGTTCAAGACCCACACGGGCTTTGCACTGACCTCGTGGAGCGTGCTTGAGATTCTCTGTCTTCCCTCTCTCTCTCAAAAATAAATGAACATTGAAAAAAAATATGGCTGCTGTATGCAGAAGAGACTAGACAGGATACGAGAGTGTGGAGAGCAGCTAAGTGACCATTGCAGTCCACGTGAGAGACTGGACTTGGATTGAGAGGGTTGGATTAAGAGGGCAGTAGTGGAAAGAGGATAAACGATCAGAGATATTTGGAAAGTTAACAGGACTTGCTGAGAAATAAGGTGTGTGGGAGAGTAGGAGGAGATTCATTAGGACTAGATGGAGAAGAGTGGAATCAATGATTCTTCTTAGGTTTTGACTTTAACTACAGGGTGGTCTCATTACACGAGTTGTGGACAACTTTGGAAAGAGATTTAGTGGATCAAATTAAAAGCTCAATTTGGGCAGTTTAAGCTTGGGATTTCTATTAGACAATTATAAGATTACCTGCTTGCCTACTGAGTTTTTGACTATTTGGATTTCTCCTTCCTATGTCCTGGTGGCTAAATGGATACCTGGTCCCAAATGCTTCCAAATTTAGGAATAAATTTGTGCCATCATTTCCTCTGTTTTTTTTTTTTTTTGTTTTTTTTTGTTTTTTTTGTTTTTTAAACAATTTCCTTGTTATTTGTTTACAGACCAGTCTTTGTAATTCTCACTTTCTGAAGCTCCATTCTCCCCAGGTCTGGTTTTCTGTCTCCAGAGTGAGCTCAGACCCTGTATCACAGGATACCTTGGGACTACAAAAATCAAGTCTACGCACATGAAGTTTTTGTGGACAGACAAATCTTTTTTTTTTTTTCAAATGAAACAAGGTGTTGGAAATTTTAATCTTGTATAATTTTCTTCCTTTGTTGCCCATTTTAGTGGGCATAAGCAAAGAAATAAAATACGTATTAAGAAATGGCCAAATACTAAATAGATATTAGCAAGTTGGATATTTATTATTGATATTTTCTTATTTGGAGAGTAAATACCTATTGCAAATGAAGAAAGAAGCACCAAAGAGGTCATTAAGTTCTTCAGATAAAAATTGTCTTTAGTGTATCTTCATGGTCCTAGAGCTGGACCAGAAATAGTTCCATCAATTGCTTGCTCAATGCTGATTAAGCTATAAAGACTTGTGAAACACCAACCAAGCTCACAAGAAACTTCAAGTTTGGTTGCTTTAAGGGAAAATTTAATAAATTGCAATGTGAAATAAACCTGACCTGAAATTGGGATTCCACTATCTGTATATAGCAGTTACTCCCTGAAAAACTGTTTACATATTAATACTTTGGTTGGTAGATACAGAATAAGACACAGAGTGTTAGATGCTCTCAAAAGACATCTTCATTAAGCCATTTAAGTCTGGAAAATTAGCTTTCTTCATTCTGGCAGTAAGTTCAAGGTTATTAGGGCTGTCTTCTAGAATCAAAGCACCTCCTGGATAGTATCAGAAAACAGTGCAAATTCCACAGGTACCATTTCAGTGTGCCAGGCAAGTTACAATGCAATTGGAGAAGGGGAACGGTTTCATTTTACATCAGTGACATATGAACCATGTCTTCTTGACACAGGAATCAACCGTTTTCCAAATCAAGCAACACATTTGTAAGCTGTCTCTTCAGCTTTTGGTGTTATGATTATATTTCTTTCTGTTTTCACTTTCAGATGATTTTTTTTTCTCCGTATGCTATCCCCATATTCTGGATATTTTTGTGTAGTCCTTCACGTGCCAACAATATTCAAGTTTTAAGAATGACTTTAAAGCTCTGTGCCAGATTACGTCTGCTGAAAATTCACAAGGTTCTTCACAATGAAATTATACAAAATAATTACTGATGTGTATGAATCTACTGAAGTGTGAGGATTTACATAATTTGGGAAAGCAAAAATGGGCATAAATGCTCCGTGGGTTCCAAAGTCTAATTGGTATATAGATATATGTTAAAAATCAAAGAGGAAGGAAATTTATACAGATTATATTTATTCATTCCAATTATTTTTACACATTTAGAAGTTTGTATAATTTTTATCATGTGATAAACTGGGCTGCCAGAGATATAAAGGTGGTAAACTGGAAATTTATGCAATAAATTTGATCTATATAATTTGTTGATCATTTGTGCATTATTTTGTAATTTGTAATTAAACAATTTTTTAAATGTTTATTTATTTTTGAGAGAGAGATAGTGCAAACGGGGGAGGGGCAGAGAGAGAGGGAGACACAGAATCCGAAGCAGGCTCCAGGCTCCAAGATGTCAGCACAGACCCTGACACGGGGCTCGAAACCACACACTGTGAGATCATGACCTAGGCTGAAGTCGGATGCTCCGCCGACACAGCCACCCAGGCGCCCCTTAATTTTTAATTTTTTTAAATTAAGCAACTATTACAGGAAATCAGTAGGGCAATGGTGGCTTTGAACAACACATTACACCAGATGGACTTAACACATATAGAGAACATTTCATACCAAAACAACATAATCCTCATTTTTTACAAGTACACAGGGAATATTCTCCATGGTAGGTGATATATTAAGCCACAAAACAAGTCTTAATAAATTCAAAAAGATTGAAATCTTATCAAACATCTTTTCCAATCATAGGGATACAAAACTAGAAATCAATTACAATTAAAAAACCTAAAAAACCTCATAAACAGAGAGGCTAAACAACAAATGGGTCAATGAAGAAATCAAAAAAGAAATAAAATATACCTGAAGACAAATGAAAATGAAAGCACAAATGTTCCAAAAACTTTGGGATTCAGTAGAAGCAATTTTAAGAGGAAAGTTTATAGTGACACAGGCCTACCTCAAGAAACAAGAAAAAAATTTCAATCTATCATATACTGAAAGAAAATAGAAAAAAAAAGAATAAACAAACCCACAGTTAGTAGAAGGAAAGAAATACTAAAGATCAGAAATACTAAATAAATAAATGAAATATAGACCAAAAATATCAATGAAACTAAGAGATGATTCTTTGAAAAAGTAAACAAAATTGATATATCTTTAGTCAGATTCATCAAGAAAAAAGAGAGGACTTAAATAGAATCAGAAAAAGAGATAAGGCACAATTCATAGCATAAAAATATAAAGGATTATGAGACTACTAGGAAAAATTATATGCCAACAAATTGGACAACTCAGAAGAAATGGATAAAGTTCTAGAAACATACAATCGTCCAAGATTGAATCAGGAAAATAGAAAATCTGAACAAATGGATAACTAGTAATGAAATCGAATTGGTAATTGAAATACTATCAACAAACAAAAGTCCAATACCAGATGGCTTTAGAGGTAAACTCTACCAAACATTTAAAGAAGAGTTAATACTTATCCTTCTAAAAGTATTCCAAAACACTGAAAGGGAGGGATGCTTTCAAATTGATTCTGAGGCCAGCATAACCCTGTTACCAAAACCAGACAGATAGTACTAAAAGAGAAAATGAGAGGCCAATATCCTTGATGAACATGG